TTTTTGTCTGCAGTGTAATGAGCTCCCACGGAAAAAAAAAAAAAAACTTTAGTCTGTGCAGGGGCATGGTATGATGCTCTACAGGAGAGAGAGAAACATTTCGTGTACAGCCGGACATGTGGGCTCTTCTTCAAGCAGCAGATGTGTGACCCATGGGTGGGCAGTGTGTGCCACACCCCTGGCGTCAGCACCCCCTGCCACTCTGCCTCCCCTGCCTGCTGCACACACAAATGTGCCACTGGAAAAGTTATGAGCTTTTTATTGTCACTTGTGGAGTGAGATATTGAACCATCGAAGTGCTTATTCATTTCTGGTTATCTGATTGTCGTAATGTTTCTAAACTGCCAGTTGAAGGTAAGAGATAAACTACAGCCAGCCTCAGACTGAGAGGCGCCTTTGACGTAGCCAGGTTTTTTTCACCTGGGGATGATATATTATTTATTGACGCACACGGGGTCACCTGGAAATAGTTCATGCAGGGAATCGAAAGGGAAGAGTAAATACTAAAATCAAAGGCTGTCAGGACCTCCTTTTGCCAGTGGGATGGTTTTTCTCTGCTTGTGTGGCCATGGTGGACACAGACTCAGGGCTGGTGGCTCTGCTTCTTAGAGGGAAGGGGAACTCCTATGCCCTCTGTCACCCCAAGAACAAAGGCAGCATGGAGAAAAACAGGCAGTTATTTATTTATTTCTCAAAGAATTCTCTCTCCCTGTTTTCATAGCCTTCCTCTTTTTACACCAGCTTAGAGGTGCCATACTACTTGAAGGAGTGAAATGCAGGGATCAGCTCAAGGATGATGGGGAGATCCAACATTACTGCCAAAGGAGATCCAGCAGGAGAGAACGTTGCTGTTCTATAGATTTCCCAGGCTTGCTCTCTAACAACTAATCCAAATCCATCCCATGAAACAGCATTTGCACTGCAAAATGAAAAAAAAAAAAAAAAAGGCTTTCCCGAGGCTCAGGGGAGCGGTGTATGCGCAGAGCAATCAGAGATAACAATTTTCTGAACAAACTTTTGATGTTAGCCTTTCAGCACATCATTTCAATGGGAGGCAGGAGAGACATCCATCTGCTAAAGGAAATATTTGCCTCTTCCATTCTGCATGCAGCTTTGCTGTTGCTATGGTCACACATTGTTATAATTGTCTTTTATAAAGGAGAATCTCCCTTAAAGACTTTTCTACCCAATGCATCCTCCCAGCTCTCTGATTCATGAATGCATGTTTACCTATTTATCCTGCCCGATGTTGGCATTTTTAAGGCCTCAGGGTATTTGGTTTCCAAGCATTGATAGAATTAATAGAGAAGTTCCCAGCATGATCATGATTTCCTGAAGTCAAAGTCAAGTAGAAAGAGGTGGGATCAGATGTTCTTATGTCCCTTTATGAAAAAAAAAGTGAAGATTTTTATTTTTTATCGATCAAAGGTCAAGAATAATAGGCTGAAGTAGATTAATTGGTATAATTTGTCTGTTTGGATAGAATGGCTTGTCTGCCTTCTGACCGAACTTTGTCTCACCTGTTTTTCAAGGGCCTGCAATTGACATACAAATGGATTCTACAATTCCCTGGAGTCATCACTATGCTGAGGAAAAGTGTCTTATTTTCAAAAGTAAATTGCTCTGCAGCAAAGCCTCGCTGTGCACCAGACTGGGTGTGAGCAGTGAGGCCAGGGCCCTCTCCACAGGAGCCACTGGAGTTTGTGACATCTCCATCCCTGTCACTTCTTCCAGTGCCTCACCACCCTCACAGTTAAGAATTTCTTCCTTGTATCTGGCCTGAATCTCCCTCTTTTAGTTTAAAACTGTTACCCCTTGTCCTATAAATGGAATGATATCTATCTAATTGGAGCAGACCCATATTGGGCTTTTCTTCACTTGCCTTCCAAGATGGGAAGTTAATTGTTGGCAGCTACTTATTCCCTTCTTTGGTTTGAGCACAGAGAGATTGAGCTGGCAATGTCCCCTCCATGTTGAGTGTAAAATGTTGGCTGAGTTCAGTCTGACCTGGCAATGGGACAGAGCTTTTAAAGAAAATTGTGTCTGTATAAATGTCATAGAAGTAGATATAGCCAGACAGAGACAAGGACACTTTTCAGCAGCTTTTCTGAGAAAACAGCTGTAGCTGAGCTTGTGGCTTGTCAGACACTGAGGAACCAGCACAAGTGAGAGCTCTTGTGAACCCTCCAGACAAAAGCAGAGCTGGAGCCAGACTTATTGCCATTGATGCTGGAGTCAGTCACAAGGCAGGTCTGTAGGCAAGCAGACTGTGAGAGGCACAGGGCTGAGCACAGCTCTTGAAGCAGCCCCAAATCTGTCTCACAACCACTTTGCCTCCTTTGCCAGGTTAACCCCAGCTCAGTCAGGGTGAGAAGCAGCACACCGGTCCAGAGGAAGAGAAAGCAGCAAGTGTCACTCTGTAGCGAGGCAGTGCTGCAGATGGCTCTGCTGGACAGGGCATGTGTGCTTCTGGGTGGTCAGCAGTGCAAACAATAGCAAATCCTAAGGGAGCAAACCCAGCTCCACAGCCATGTCTCGCTGCTCCTGAGATATGATGCCCAAGTGAATGAATGAGAACTAAAGGCCAGGCTGTCCCCTGAAGGGGGACACTGAAGGGCTCTTATACCCCTTCAAATAGAAGATCTGGTCTCTGTCCAGCTGAGCATGTCTGTGCCCACCATGGTCCAGTCAAAGCATTCAGCATTTGTGCTGAGGCACCTTGTCATGCTGGGGGACCAACTGCAGCCAGGGCCCCCCCAAAACTGCATTACCACATCAGTTTAGTGGCATTGTAAGGAATTGTTCGCTTTGAGGGAAAATGGGAAAGAAGGGAAGAAGGAAAGAGAAAAACAGATGGTTGAGTGGCAAAAATGAAAGGGCACAGTCAGAAATTCACCCTTTGTTTTCCTGAGGTGAGGAAGTGGAAGGGCAGGTTGATGGGGTTGCATTCCTCCTCCTAATCCTCAGCATCTCTGAGTTCAAGGAGCACTGCCAGGCTCTTGGCAGCAGAGCAGCTCCAAGAGTACACCTCAGTCTCCTGTTCAACTGTGTGATTGTTTGCAATTAGCTTTGTGTAAATCCAGCATCTGGAGTATGATGGGAGTTACCTGATCCATCTCTTGAGCAGTTCTCAAAGTATATGAAGAGAGTGCCCTTCATATAGTCACTAAACCAGGATGGCACAAGGATGATAGTGAGCTCACAGGAGCAGCTGTACCAAGCCAGCCCAGCACCTTGTCCCCAGCAGATGGCTGAAGAGAGAAGAAGGAAATTCAGTCTCATTGAAGTTGTGTTGATGCCCATCTCTGGCAGAGAAAACCAACGGAAGTGGTTCAAGGGAAAACAGAAGCACTAAGCAAGTATACTGAGAAATTTCGAAAATATCTTTTCTATTGTACAGTGATCTATGGCTTAGGGACCTAAGACACATCAGTGGATTTCACCTCCTCGAGGGTGTCCAAAACATATGTGAACCCATGCACATTTACCTTACACCCATGAAGTCCTCTTACAGGGAGCATCACAGATGTAAACACCGTGCAACTCCATAAATTCTGCACTGTATAAAAATAAATCTCATTTTGTTTTTCTTGAAATTGCAGCCTGCTGGTTTTGTGTGAGTGGCTCCCGTGTTAAAAAAGGCTGATGGGTGGTTCCTTCACCTTCTTCCTGTTGTTTATAATTTACAACCTGCCAGAATAACTTCCTGTCTTTTGAGGGGCTAAAGAGTTCTCTCTACCTGGGCTTTTTTTCCACACACAGAAGCCTTTCTGTACCTTTGTTCCCCTTTGTCAGCTTTCTCCATATCTCTCCAGCCATAAAGTAATATGCCTTGTCACCTGTCAATAGCACTGTGTAAATGCTAAGTAAGGCCAACATGTGCCAATCATTAAGCACAAGGGAAATCTTTGGAGGCATATGTATCTCACTGAGGTGGATTCAGAGCAAACAGACACAGTGGGGACCAGAGTGAGGAAGGTGGAAAATCTGAAGCACCAGAGACTGAGCAAATTCTCATACCTACAGAAACACAACATTCTCAAATAACAAATATAACAAATATAACAAATTTGATAACAAATACAAAATTCTCTGTACAGAACACAGGAAAATGCCTGCTGAATCCCGGGAGGGAGATGTCTGAAACGCTGGAAGGGCTGGACACATCCTTAGAGTAACAAACCACACTTCTGAGTCTCCCTTGAACCAAGCAATGGACATAGCTTGAGTCAAAGAGCTAAGCCACTCTGCAGTATCCAGCTGTGTGCAATGCAATACAAAGAGTCTGTGCTGGAAGCTACAGGACAATGCAACATCCGAGTGTTTCTCTTAAATTCGCAGAGGGTCTGAGTTGTACATGGAAATGTCTGCAGATATGTGGATTCTGGTGTCACTGTTCATATAATGTGGCAGCCTAGATCCTAACATCAGGTCCTCCTAGATTCTTAGCACAGTCCTTGGAACAGTGACCTTCTTCTTTAATATCCATCACTGAAACATGTAGCTATAAAAACTGACACAAATCATAGCCCCTTTTTTCCCTCCTAGAGCTAGAGGTGACATCTTCTGCTCAGGGTGGTTTTGCAGACCCCATGTGCTGGTGACACCAGAATTAATGAACTACAGACAAAGTCCTCACAGCCCCTTCCTCTAATACTTTCCCTGAGTTTTCCTGCCCAGTTCTATGGCTAGCACACACCTTGAGGATGGAGAAGTGAGTCCAGTCCCTGTCTTAACATGTCTTAACAATTCACATCTCCTTCTTGCCAGGAGAGGTCTGTATTGCCTGCTGTGCAAGTAGTCAGGGTACATAAGAGGGGAGAAGAATGCAAAATACCGTTCTAGGTCACCTGACCATTGTAAAGGGGAAAGAGCCTTCTTTAGGTGCTGCCTTTTCAGCTCTAAAATCACAAGCCAAACAAGATTAAAATGATAAAAAGCGGCTACTGTTTATTGACTGTCCTTCAGGTGTACTTATGACAGAATGCGCTGATGATGTAGAGTTTGATAAGTTTAGCAAATTATAATTGACAAAAATCCCCATTTAGAAGTACATTTAATTAACTAATTCACCTCTTTGAAGCCTCCCACCTTGCTTCTAGCCTCACACTGTTTATGTCTAAATACATGGGAAAGTGACACAGCCTTGGTTCACTGGAGAAGCAAGACTAGGATAGGATTACAGCAATGTGTTTGTATAGCAAAATACTGGAGTTAGCTTAAGAAACTATATAACTATACAATAATAGTCTACAGAGCTACAAATGTGTGAAAAATATATAAAAAGTAAAAATCTTCTGGCATCATAGGAATGACTTTTCTGACCTGTTGCAGATGTCTCCTGTATGCTGTACTGCAGGTGAGACTGCTTCTCTTCAAGCATTTGCAGGAGGAGCCCCAAGACCCCTGGTTCAGACATGGATCCTCATCTCACAGGGCAAACACTTCCCCAGAGCCCCAGTGGACTGACTTCAAGGAAGGCAGAGGAAAAGGTCACCATTATAGATGCCTGGTAGGAATCAGACAGGCCAGGGACACGGTTTCTGGTCCTTGGGGCCCAGCCTCACTCCCTTCATATTTCCCCCTTGGCTGCTTCCTTCACCATGGCACTGAGATCAGCTAAACCCAAAACTGTGTGGTTTTGTCTCTATGTGATGAATATTGAGGCTCAGTGACAAAAGTGTAGACAGTGTTGGCTTGAAAATGTTCTGCTAAGAAGAGGCTGAAAAATGTGAAATACAGGCAGCAAAGGAAAACACAAGCAGCGCTGTGGAAGGAAGGAGGAGACTGTTACCCACAGCTCCCTAGCATCAGACACTGCAAGGTTTAAAACCTGGCTTTCAGGAAGATCCCAGAGCCATTTTTATTTGAAGGGTATGAGCATTTATAGAGCTCTAAATATATTAGTGAGCCATGTAAACACTAGCTAATTAATTTAAGTAACATCATAAAGCAAATTAAACCATTTATCTCCTCAGAGATAAAGCGGTCAGCAGAGTTAAAAAAAAAAAAAACGGGTCCCTAGTAGAATGGTTATTTTAAAGGGGAAACTTTTACAGTGTTTAATTTATTTCTCCAGAATAAAGAAGTTTCCTTATATTCCTGAAACAGATGAGCACAGAATAAAAGGAAATTCATTTGGAAAGCATGTTTTTCCCTCCAATGTTATACCAACATCAGCCCTTGTTTTCAGGAGCATTGGTTTTCATCAGCTGGCAAAAGCACCTGGAAAGCTGGAGTCCTGATTCCTGTGATTGCTCCATCAGCTCTGGTCTTCTTCCTCTTGCATATGAATACAAAAGAAGACTTTAACAATATGCATAAAATATTCTGATGCTCAAATTGGGTTCAGCTGCTTTTCTGCTCCCCCCACTCACTGTGCTTAAGCTAAGTGAAGTGGTCTTTCCCAGAGCTGAATTCACCCAAGTTTGCAATCCCTGTCTACGAACTGGGCATTTATTTTCCTTGCAGCCTTCCAGTCTCTCTCCTGAGCTCATGAGCAAGAGCACAAACCAGAGCTGGCTGTGTTAACTGGAGGCCACAGCTCTCACTGCCTTTGCAAACCCACACCTGGCCTCTGGCAGAACCTTACATAGCTGAATAAAGGTTTTGAGGTTGTAGCCATATAAACCAATGTAAATACTACATAAAAAATAATCTTCATTGTGGAGGAGGAAGTAATGTAACTTTATGAGTGGGAAGGTCAAGGAGTGTTATCTGCTATTACCCATGAGTTTTGTGGTTTCCATTCACATTTGATCCATTTGCTTTTCTATTGACACTGGCTTGGGATAGAGGAAATTCACGTTAAAATCAGATTGCCTGTCAAGATCCTGACAAAGGAAGGAAACGGCCCTTGATTACCAGGGACCTGATCTGGCATTCCTCTCAGAGCTCCCTGTCCCTCAGCAGGGCTTGCTGCCCTCTCACTGGCTGCTTCAGGTGCTTTAGGCTGGCAGCAGGTGTCTGCTGTGACTTGCAGACTGGCTATTATCACCGTGCTTGGAAAATTTCTACTGCAGAAAGCTTCAGAAGAGAGCTCATGATGAATAACAGCACTGTCCCTTCTGGGTACTCCTGGTCCCCTCAACCAAAGTATGATTGGTGTTACTCTTTGTAAAAAGAGTTGTCTATCTAGCAGTAGAACACATTTACATACCATTAGAGATCCACTGCATGAGTATATAAATACGTGCAGACATGCACGAAATTATACATCAGCTTACATAGTAAAGCTGGATTTTTTAAAAAAACATCTGTTTTTCAAAAAATTATGATAAGGTATTTTGTAAAACAGGGGAAAAAATCCTACAATCTATGATTCTAAATAATAACAAGTAGAAATTAAGAACGGGGAAAATTGTACAGGATACACAAGTAATTTCAAAGTTATTTTGCTTTGGAAAGTAGCAATTTAACAGCATTGCTGAATTGAAAGACATTCACTGGCACAGAACAAACTCATGATTACATTCTAGCTCTTCAGGTCAGTTTTGAAGATTTTTCTCTCAGGGGGTCTGAAAGAAAACTACATTTGCCTCCATTTTCAGATTTATGCCCATGAATCAGAGACTGGAATACGGCCTTCTGTATTTGTTCATTACAGAAGTTATAGGAAGACTGAACTTGTCCCTCGGGATTATTTCTGCTCTTGGTTTAAAATGCTGCAGCAGGGAATTCTCTGCCAGTATAGAGACAATCAGGAATACTGGGCCATCATAAGGATTGAGTGAGCAGCCCACCAGGAGAGAGGCTCTGCCCCTGCAAAGGGTTTTCTGGGCTCAGGACAGATAAACTTTCCCATTGACGTAGGCTCGTGTGTGCCTGCACACACACAGGGCCAGCCAAAGCCTCAGGGACTTTTGCCACCATGCTGTTAATCATTATCCAAGCAGAGCTGTACTCTTTGAGATCTCTGACCTGTTTTGCAGCCCTGAAGGGGTTTATTGCAGCCAGCACAGCCTTGGCCAGTGTTTGGTTTGCGTGCTGACATCCAGCCAGCTGGCCCTGGTTCAGAGCTCTGCGAGACCCAGCCTTGCACGGCCGCACATTTGTTCTCCTTGGGAAAAGGGAGCAACTCCTGCTTCCATCGGCCAAGGGGAAGTGGGCAGCCCAGGGACACAGGGTGAGGAGGAAGCAGCCAGGTGAATTTCCCTTGGGTGATAATGAGGTCACGTGGATGTGGTATCTGCAAGGACGTGGATTCAGGACTGAAAAGCAGGTTACTGGGGATGGTGCAAGGAGAGGTCCTGTGTTCAGTGAGCTGTGCCAAACACAAGAAATCTCAGCCCCAAATCTTACAGGATTCTTGCACACAGAAAAGATTTCTCCCACAGGTCTTTAAGTTATTTTTGAATTTTTTTTCAGGTCTCTGGAAGCTTTTCCTGAGTCTTTTATGACTTGCTGAAGCCTTGAACTTCAGCAAGAAATTACTTGAAGCTTGAATTAATTCAAGAATTTAAGTGTTGTTCTATTCATGGTCTCCTAAATTGTGAGTAATTGAAAACAAAGAAGAATCAGAACCATTTTGTCAAACATTTTGATTAGCCAGTACCTTGCTGAATCCTGTGTGTCCCTTCTGGCTGGTGACTTTCAGGGTAGGCATCTGCTTCCAATCCCATGAAAGTGTCACACTAAAAAAATTCATAAAGAAGTGGAATTAGGAATTCAAACCCAGTAGCCTTGCTACTGAAGAGATACTCTTCAAAGATCTCTTCCAAACCATCCTATGGATCTGTGAATCTACAAACAGTACATGATCATGCAGTCACTCAGGGAAGTTTGTCTTTGTTCCTAAGAGGGCATAAATGAAGAAAATGGTTCCTTATTTTCAGTACCAGAAACTCATTAAGATCCCCTGCACCAGTTCTAAGGAATGGCACCAGACACATTACGTGGGAGACAGATCAATGAAATTTTTCTGGTTGAGGAGGCTGAGCACTGGCTGAAAATTGTGCTGCAGTCAGGAGGGAATCTTTCTTTCTTCAAACCATAGAAAGGTATGACTTTCACAGGACCAGGAAAGGGCTGTATTGTTTTGGGGGTTTTTTGCATGTGTGGAAGACCAATACAATTTTGAGCCTCCTCTGCTGGCTCACCAGTTCAAATCCCTGCACTTTGCAGAAATGACAGTTCTGTGCAGGAACTTGAAATTGATGGGAAAAGGAAGGCTACATACTATTGACAAAAGTCTTTTCATCACTTACAGCCAGCTCTCTGGGTGAATATTCCCAAAATCCTTTGAAATTTTGGGGACTGAATTACTTTGGTCGCGTATTTGTAATCACGTATCCATAATCTTCTTCGGCCTTACTCAGGAGTTTGCAGTGAGCAAATTTTACTCATTAGGGATAAAGATCATAATTCACTTGTGGTTCTATTCAGTTTTACCAACTAAATCACAGACAGTAATCTTTAAGGTATAAAATGTATATGTTCAGCAAAGGACTATTTTTGTGCAGTCAATAAGTTATAAAGACACTTTATGCCCAGGAAAGAACAGTAATTGGGAGTTGTTTTATGAATGCAAGAACAAAGCTCACTTCCAGCAGCTCTCTGCTCTGTGGCTTTTCTGGTGCCTTAGAAAAGGCAGCATGTGTCCAGTGGGGACACAAAGGGTACAAAACCTTCCCCTAGCTGTCCCTGGAGCTGTCTTTAAATCTTGAAAAGAGACCTTCTTGATGAATGGGACAAGGGTATTAGTGTGCACCAAAGGTGTTGACTGCCATGTGCTCTCTGTGGATTGTGTTTTTGGGGTCTTCCTGAAGGTTAGAAGATAATTTACACTGTGCTGGACATCTGAAGGTGTAGGTGAAGCAGGTTTGCTCTTTCCTTGATACAGATTTGTGAGGAGGCAATGATGCAATTGATGTTTGTTAGTGGAGGGTATAGTGCAGAAGAACACAAATGAGAAGTATAAAAGTGGAAAAGTTAGAGAGGAAAAGAAACGGAGGAAAGCATAAGGGTTAACTTTGGTAGCAGTTTTCTTAGAACAGGGATGGAGAGAAGAGCTGAATAAGAACAGAAATGAAGAACAGGCAGCAGCCTCCAGCTGTCTGATTTATAGGACCCATATAAACCCTTAGTCACACAGCACTTTCATTTTCCAGAAGTCCCAAGTCATGGTGCAGCAGACACCTGTGCTGTGGCTGCACAGGCTCATGCAGATGCCTCTTGTGCCTGGTGTAGGGTGCAGCCTTCTGGACACCTCTACAGAACAAGCACTGTCAGCACCACTCTTTGTCTTGTGGTCAAAAGACAAGCTGCAGGCATGCTCAGTCCAGAATTTGGACCTATTTAAATTAAGTTTTCCAAGCATCCTGCTCTGTCTGCAGATCTTTGTGTATGCGTTGCCACTCAGGTGCACAGAATTTTTCGTGCAGGTAGTTTGATATGATGTCGTGTTCCCACATCCTAATTATCTCCCCTGTGGAGGTCCCTAGTTGGGAGCAGGAGATTCCTTTCCTTCTCATTACTTTAGCTGATTCAAATCCTTTCAAAGAGCAAGCCCTGGAACAGCAATTTCATGACCTACAGTCACCTCCAGAGTGCTGAGGCTCACTAAAAGGCCACCCACGCAGGGTTTGGGCAGTGGTGTGCACAAAATGCCACCCGTGGTGTTGCATTCTCCATAAACTGCCACACAACAGGGTAAGTGCATTGCCCATATCTGAGAGTGTCACATGAAATGCAAACACTTAAAACATCTCTATATTTCCATAGAATAACACAACCTGAAACCAGAGCAGAGCAAGTTCACACAGTTAAGAGGTACCAAAAAGTGACGGTAGTTGATCAATCAACTGACTAATTGCATCTGACTGCAGCAAGTAGTGATTCTTCTGTCCTGTGTTTGCTTGCAATGAAGCAAGAAAGAGAACTGGGTTGCTTAAATGGCCTGGGGCACAGGCTACCCAACGCAATCAATTGCTTCTCTCAGTTACCCTCGCAGATGATGGGAAAATCCAAAATGCTCCCTGGTAGTCCTGGAACCTTTAGCTGTGAGGCTGCCTGCAAAGAAGTGCTCAGGATAACAAGCATTTTGTATTTTTGATATATTTCTAAAATGTAACTACTATTTTATCACCTAATCAAGCTATATAGTAGTATTTTATTGCCAAATATGAAATTTATTACAGCTGCTTTGTGGTTATACACCAGTGTTGAATTAGTGCTTTATTACTATAAGCAACTGATAACCCTCACCCAATTAAGGTATCTTTGTATCTATCTCTATTTGGAACTGTTCCGACACCAAGCTCTTGTCAGTACTGAACAATTGTTATTATTAGTGACTGAAACAGGACTAAATTAACAGCTAGAGAAGTTGTGATTGCACCACTAAACTCCTAAGTAGTTTGATTAGTAAATAATACAGTAATACCAATTAAATATAACAGCTGCTTATCTCATGGAGATTATAAAATAAATACGTAGTTATAAATATATCTTGTTATGGTGCAGTATAGTTTGCATGATTTAAAATACTTTCAAGAAATAATTAAGCTTTCTATGAAGCCAGGCACCAGAAAAAAACAGTGGCCTGTGTCTCAGCATTGTGAGAACATCACCACAAAAAACATAAGCAAGTAAAAGGAAAATATAAGACTGGTGATTTATGAGATATTATTTTGTGATTCTAAGTTCTAAGTAGTATTTCTTGTTCTATTTTGTGTCATTACTTTAAAAAAAAACCAAAAACACAATCAAAGATGGCAGAATATGCATGAAAATGTGGCCTCATGGCAGAAGGACTTGATCTTGCTGTTAACCAGGGCTTGAGTTGCAAACATAGGCTGTATTTTGACATTGACCTTCCACTGCTTTCAGAAAACCAAGGGTTTGAATCCTCTGTGTAAATAACAATACCTGTGCAATACCTGCTCCTAGCCACAGTTTCCTTTTCCAACTACATCCCCTAGGCCAAAAAATTTCCAAAGAACAAGAAATATCCCAATGAATGGTCTCCAATGTGGCACAGCTCCTTAACTTGTAGCTCAGAAAGGTCATGGAGCTGCTGAGGACACTGTGCTGCTGAAGGAAACACAAATCACTGCACAGCATTGGGGCATGGCCCTATTCTTGAGCTTTGTGTGTCTTGGGGGATAGTGGAGGCCCCTCATTTTCTATTGGGGATTTAGTCTTTTGGGAAAAAATGTTAAGGAGCACAGAAGAGATACAAGGCAGATCAATTTGATTTTCTTATAAAGGAAGTGAGGCAGAGACTGTGACATGAGTCATAGTTGCAGTAACTGGGGAATGTGGGAACAGAATGTGGGTTTCATGATTTTGGTTAAAATTTTCTTCTATTTTTTCTTCCTATAATTATATTCGGTTATAATTTTATTCCGTTGCTCTCCTCCCCCATATTTTCCCTCGTTCCCTAGGACTGACAAATGGAAAGGCAAATGATGAAGGCCAGTACCTGCCACTAAAATTAAGCAGGCAGCAGGGCTGGTGAAAATTCCCTGCTCCCAGCATTTATGGCAGGGTACAATCAGTGGCTTGTGTTTGCTATTTAGACAAAGGAGCTTTGGAGTTAGAGGGAAGGTCTTCCCCAAGAAGCTGCTGACTCCTGAAACCTGATGTCCTGTTCCTTATCAGGCTGGTTTATGACAGGTTTCATAAATGTTTTATGAGACCCTGATGACTGCATGGCTGAGCTGGGTGGTGGCAGCTGCCTCCAACTTTGTGCGTTATTGACAAAGGATCAAAGACCAGATTTACCACCCTGATAAGATCAGATGGATAAGAATCCTGAACTGACATTTTCCCCGTTTCCTGCATGAACAAACACGTTGCAGGATTTATTGACAGAGGCTCAGTCCTGAAGACCTTGTTTGGACAAAATTCCTGCCAATTTCTACACCCCTTCCCCTAGGCTTAGTGGAAATTCCATGAAATGGGCAGTAAGTTTGAGACCCTTGTCTCACCACAAGGTGAGCCACCACTTTGACTGAAAACCCTTATTCCAAAAGTCCCTGGATAGAGGGACCTTAAGGGGATCATTGGTCTTGATGGGGTCAGGTTGACAGGATCCCCAATGCAATGCCAAATTCCCAATTGTGCATAAGGCGTCCCTCCACACGTGGCCGAGCTCTGTCTCGCTTCCATCTGCAGTCCTCCAGGATGGGGTCTGCTGACCACCAGCTGAGAACAGTGGATGCAGCAACTGGGAACATGGGCTGCATGACAGAGGCCAGCCAAGCCTGTCACACACAAAGCATCTGAGTTTAGTGCATCTGAGTTTAGCACATCTGACTTTCTAACAGCCAGACCCCTGGGAAGGTCCTGGGTTGGTCTTAGCCAGGGTTTGAGTTAGTGCTTGTCCTACAAAAGATGTCTCTCCTAGGCATGTCTGCTAGCACCCCCTGCACCAGGAGCACTGTCAGCCCAGCTGGACACTGTGGTCCCAGGACCTGAAGGCTGCAAGGTGAGAGGGCCACTCAGCACATTAACTCCCAGCTTTAGGGTGTCAGACATTCTAGCAAGCTAAAGAAAGTGGGTGACAAGGTAGGACTGCAGTGTGCTTCAAACAGAACTGCATGTCCTAAGAGTTGACTGCTGTTACTATTTTTTGCTGTAAGCTTTCTAGGTAATTGTCAAAAAAATATATCTCTCTTTTCCAAGCCTGGGAAGAGACATATTTTTAGTTTCTTGTCAGGGCATTATTTCATTATTAGTCAAAAACATTTTGAGGCAGCTAAAAATAAGATACTGTGGAAACACTGGGCTCAATCATTCTGTTTGTTGATTTTTTTTAAATGCAAGAGCAGAGCAACTGTCTTTGAATTACATAGGGCATGCCTGTGCTGTGAAGTTTGTTTTCCAGGAAGCCTGACTACTGACTCAAAAAATGTTCAATAATAGGGCTTAGTGAGACTAAAGTATCACAGAAATTGTCTTCAGAGCCACTTTGACCAGCAGAAGAGATGGGTCAAAGAATTGGCTTGCCCACAGCAGTTAAATACAGGCAAGAGTACAAAATAAAGAGAGGCGAAGTGGGCTTGAAATTCTGATCACCAGGTGCTCAGAGCTAGACCCTGCCTTAAATTGGATTCTTCACTTCCAGACACACCTGGCCTGAGAGACACTGGTGTTCCTCTATTTGGAGAGCAGGAAAAGACCATCTGAACTCACTAGGAAAGATTTAGATTTTCTCATTCTGCCGTGTCAGACAACAGTTGGCTAAACAAGGGATTCTCCCAGGCTTGAAACATGCAATTTGCTGAGAGTTGCCGTCTGGCTTGAGTGGTATGTTTTCTTCAGTCTCACTGAAAATCAAAGTCTTAAAAAAAGTGCAAGTTTAAGCATTTTGCTTCTGTCCCTGATGCCAGAAACTTGCTTCTCTAGAGATCAAAGGAAGATACTTATTTTAAACGGTAGGGCTAATTGACCATGAAGTAGCCAATCAAGTGGAGATAACTGGGTTTACCCCACTATTGTGGAAGTATAAGTAACTCCACGAAGCTATGGAGAACAAAAATCAAGCCTAGGGACCTGAAGTACCTGAGGGACTTGTTTTTTAAAAAACACAGATGGAAAATTAATATATATATAATCTGTCATATTTTTGCTGGACTTGGTAAGGACAAATACTGTGTTATATTACAGGTCCAGTAACACAACATCAAATAACAGAATGTGGAGAAGCAGCTGCTGGTGGCTAAGAAAGGAGCTGAGAAAATTACAGAGAAGAAGAATACCTTGTTTGAAATATTTCATGTTGCTCACCACTCATCTCTAGACAATGTTGATCATTGCCAGCAGGGCAGGAGGACAGGCAGCAGAGCCAGCACCGAGGCAGCAGCACCGTCTTTTATAGCGAACTCAGGCAGCTGGACACGGATCTTTATCTTCTTCGAATTCGTTTTCTAAACATTATCAACTCAGATTGCCCTTCACAAATTTCACTCCAAAACTTCAGAGTAATTGGCTTTTACAATGCAGTAAAGAAAGATATTAACTGGTTTGGGGATTGACTAGACAACCATTTACATCACTCTTTTATCAATATTGCCATAATTTGACACTTCTGAATGGAGGAGGATTGTAAAGCGCCTGCAGACCCTGTAAAACATGTTAAATGGAGATTAGTCTTACTGCTTAGTTTAAGCCTAGTGAAAGATAATTAAATTGACTGATGCAGCTGTAAATCTCACTTTTATCAAATCCTGGCTCTCTCTGTCCTTATGATTTTACAGCATCATTAATGTTGTTGTGACAGTATCATTAATCTCCTCCTGCTGTTCAGAGAATGAAAGGCAACCAGCAAACACTATAAAAATCTGTTCTCTTTTCTCTCTTCTTGGCTCTTAAACAACTTAGACACACATTTCATTCAAGAGGTGATTTCATAAGCTGTAAATTAATTGTAAATACACCATATAGTTTCTTTCATTGTGGTTTGTGTAAAATGGTTTTATTAGTTTTGGGGTTTTAGAGGATTTTTTTTTTTTGTCAAACAAAAGGGATTAGAAATAATTCCTCAGTGTTCTTCAGAGTTTTGTTTTGGGCTTTTTTTCATGCAACTCTTCTTAACAACACAAGAGATCATCAGGCCTACAAGTGAAGGTACACTGCTGTTTTGGAGATCCTGGGAATTCCACCTTAAGTCATCAGTTTTAATTTTTCCTCAATTTATTAGACAGGGAAGATTGACTATTTTCTGCTTCTGGTTTCCTAGTGAGGACTGTGACTGAGCTGGGCATGGGGAGGAGGTGAACAGCCTGAATGGGGAGCCTGTAGCATAACAAGACTGTGTATGCCATTCTGATGTAGTAACTGGAGCTGTTCAGCCTGCAGTAGGCTTTGCACGTCCCTCCCTGGTGCAGTGGCTGCTGGGGATGTCTCTCACTCCCTTTTTGCTCTGCCTGAACTAAGACACCTCTGCCCAAGGCACCTCTGCTTCTCACAGTGTCTATTCTGCCCACTGCTGTACCTCAACATCTCCACAAAATTATTCCATCTTTCTTTTCTCTGTGTGCACCTCCTCTTTGTGACTGCATGTGAGCTGTACAGCCTGAATCATACAGCCCTTTAATCTCCAAACTACTTTTTTTCCATGGGGAGGACACCTGCCTTCCCAAGGTGTAACCGTGGATGCTGGGTCATGCACCTTGAGTTGATCAGGGCACACAGAATTCCCTCTCTTGGTATGAGGTGGACAAAATAATCCCACCTCAAACAGGAGGAGACTTTAGATAAGAGAAGTGCAGATAGGCACACTGTCTGTCTTCCCCAAGGTCAGCTGGCTCAGCAGGGCTTTATCCATATGGTTTTACCCAGGATATTTACCTGCAACCCAGGACTAAATCCCTTCAAAGCCAGATTTCTACTTGGGCACTTCACTTTAGGTAGTGGTTCCCACATGACTGAAATTTTGTGGCATCCTCCTGGAAAAGAAACAAACAGCAACTCCCTAACAATCTGAATGCTGTTAGGCTTCTTCTAACAAAGGCCTCAGCAGGCTGCTTTCTCTGACTGTATTTTCCTGGTTAATTCAAGGTTTGAGGTTGTCCCTTAGGACTAATGTAAAACTGGAATTGTGCTGCACTTGGCTGAAGTCAATGGAACAAATTTACTACTTTAGCTCACTGTTTATGGGGGAGACAGTTTATGTAAAAAATATTTCAGAGTTCATAATCTGGCATTTAAGTTACAGTTAAGCCTAAATATAGTGCTTTAATCATCAGCAGCTATAATTTCATTCCAGTATTTCTTCAAACTCTTTGGTTTGAAAGTCCAGAAGATAAGAAGTACTTCTCAGTAATGCAAATAGACAGAGAGCATGGAGTTCACCCAGACTGTTTCTCCAGCCTGGGCTGTGCTCACCTTTTCAGGTCTCAGATAACTCAGGAAAAAATTCTATCTCAGCTCTTTCCAACCCTTGAGGCTTGCCCCTCTGCAAAGATCTAGGGCAACACCAGCGTCTCTTTTCTGTGTCAGCCCTGTAGATAAACAGCCATGGTGGTTCAGGGGTCATCTCTACGTTCTGCAAAGGGGAGGAAATGATGAGGAGGGTACAACGGGTAGCAATGCTACGGGATATAGGAGTGATGGGAATAAAAGCACAGATTAGTTTGGGTATGATATGTGTTAGGCCGAGCTATTCTTGTAGAAGACTATAGAACTGGTGCAGCATCACCTTGAGTCCTGTGTGCAGCCACACACAATATAAAAAGAGGGTGTCCAAAGGAGGGCAATGAGGATGGTGGAGGGTCTGGAGGGAAAACTGCATGAGGAGCTGCTGAGGTCACTTGGTCTGTTCATCTTGGAGAAAAGGAGACTGAGGGGAGAGCTCATTGCAGTTTGCAGCCTCCTCAGGAGGGGAAGAGAAGGGGTAGGCACCAATTTCTTCACTCTCATGAGCAGTGACTGGACTTGAGAAAACTGCCCGAAGTTGAGTCAGGAGAGGTTTAGGCTAGATATTTTGTAAAGGTTCTTCACCCAGGAGGTGTTTGGACACTGGAACAGGCTCCCCAGAGAAATCATCACAGCACCAGCCTGACAGAATTCAAGAAGCATTTAGACAATGCTCTCAGACACATGGTGTGACTCTTGGGGTGTCCTGTGTATAGCCAGGAGGTGGACTCAATGATTCTGATGGATCCTCTGGGTAACTTATAGTGAGTCCTGTCCAGCAAAGAAATTATCAGAAAATATAAACTTGTGAGAAGAAAACACAAGGATGACTGTGCAAGACTCCTGCATTTGGTGTGGGCAGTTCACCACTTCCTGCTGCCTGCCAGGGATTTTGGTCAAGCAGAGAGGCCTTGGCTCCTGTTCCCTTGGGCAGGAAGGGAAGGGACATCATGTGGGGCTGGTCAGCAGAGCAGGAGAAGGGTTTTTCCAAGATGTTGATGGCCTCTCACCATTCAGAGCTGTCCCCCAAAGCCTGGAGAAACCCTCCAGCAGAGCACCGTGTCTGGCTTGTTCCAGGGCACCGTGACCTGAAAAATTCTCTCAGGCAGGTCAGCAGGTGCAGGTGCTTAAAAGTCCAAGGGCAGAGTTTTGCCAAAGTTCAGTCCTTTATGGCACACAAAGTTCTGCCGCCACATCCGGGCGGCTCCACTGCACCCAAGTGCAAGGCCTGGGCTGTCCTAGCTCCAGGTGGAGCATTTGTGGCCAAGCAAAACATTGTGGTTTTCAGAACCTGCTATAAAACAAGCTCCCAGATGCATCTCTGGGTCTGTCAAATGGCACCGTCAATGCTCAGAGTCGCAGTCGTGCAGCAGCTGGAGGGGCTCCAACATTTGATCCCAAACTAATGACACATAACATTAGTTATCTGGAAACATAAATAGCAGAAGATACTGAGTGCTGTTAGTCCTCAATAAAAGGTGAACACAATTTGATTCTAATTATATTTAGTTCAAGTTGCTTCCTAACGATTAACATTTGAAAGAGATGTCAATAATTTTCACTTTCTTTAAATGAAATAGGGTGATAGCTTTTATAGCAGAGTATAAAGATATCAGCTGGGAAATCTATGGCCATCAATGGCTTTAGTTTTCTCCCTTTATCTATTGGTATAGCCCTAATTTGACACTTGCCTGTTGAGGAAGCTTGTAAAGCAACTGCCGACCCTGTTAAATTTAGATTAGTCTTACAGCTCACTTAAAGCCAGTAAAGTGATAATTAAATCCACTCTTGAGCTGTAAACTCCAGAGTATCTGGAAATAGCTCTATTCCTGCCACTGGCAATGCGGCTTCATTAGAATTTATACTGTCCCCTGCTGCGGGGACCCTCCAAACATGGAAGGGAGGGTCTGACCCTGATCTGTCTGACCACATTGCCCAGATCCTGCAGCCTCCTCTGGCCCATGCAGCCCTGTGAAACATCATTGCTGCCACAAGGCGCTTCTGAGCCTTGGCACAAGGCTGCTATGATGATATTTATCTCTAAATTCAAACCAGAGGTTACAATGTGGGTCAAAGCCATTCAGTTTATCAGAGAGAAAAAATAGCTTTGCCCTGCTGTTGGGGCAGACAACAAAAAATTTTGTGTTGTCCTTTCTTGGCTTTTACTTTGGCACTAGACATCTGGGAATTGAAGCTCTCAGACTTTGGCTGAGGTTTCATTGTGTCTCCACTGAGCTTTGCAGGAGGACAGAGCCCAAATGCCCCACTGCTTTTGTCATCCACGAGCCAAATGGGGACAGCCATGGGTAAGAAGAGAAGCTAGAAGAGAGTGTTGCAGTCTGTCCTTCCCTCATAATGACGAGTTTCTTGGGTCATTTCATTCTGTCTCTGTATCCCTGGCATCTACACATGGATTAGGAAACACAGAGGAAGAGTCTTCTCTCAGCAGAACCTTACTATGTGTTGTTTGGTTTGGAAGGATGCCTGCCACTGCTTGTTTCTTTGGCAGGGGAAGGGATCTAAAACACCCCAAAACTGCTTTCACATGTATCAAAAGGAAAGAATTGCACATCGAAAATGTCATGCAAAGGAGAACAGGTTTCAGGTTTGATCACTGTGACTCAGCAGAAGTCTTATGATGAAAAATGTTTTGAAACACATTCTATGTATTTTGTTGTCTCAGTTCAAGTTTTGTCAGATTTTTTTTATTGCAAATTTTTTCAGGCAAAGACTGGACCATATTTCCTGAGAAGTTACTGCAGGCACTTGTGTGTCATTTGTCTTTCCCCTTCATCCACCACTAAAAACATCTGCTGGAGCAGGAGGCAGGTGAAGTTTGGGGCTGAATCCAAATAACCATTTCTTTTCTAAATTTATTGAGAAAGTGGCTGAGTAGTGCCCACCTTTGGTTTTATGACAGCTTGGTAGGAATGTCCTGTGTTACATCCTTGCCCTGCCTGGATATGAGAGGATGAGATAATTTTGTTGGGAGGAGCAGTTCAATTTCCAATGAAACTCCCTAAATTTAGCAGCCTGCCTTTCTGTTGTAAGCCCAGCCTCTAGGCTCCCCTTAGAGGCAGTGCTGTGGTCAGGGAAGCAGTGCTGCAAGCCCAAGGCTACCTGGCTAGTCCTAGGAATCTCTGCCTGAGCACAGTGGGCTGCACTAAGATTTCTGGTGATCTCTCATGCTACATGCTCAGTGTGTAAATGGGTGTCTGAAGATAGCTGTCTTGACCTTAGACCGAATTCTTTTATACAAAAAAAAAAGGGTATAATTCATGCAAGTGATAGTCAACATAAAAACTTCTGGAGCCTGGTGCAGTCCCTGATGTGAGGCAGCAGGAGAGGAACGCGCTGTTTAGACAAGGGCCGTGGCACATACAGTGTTATTTCTGTTTAGCCACTGCTGTTCAGGGTGGCACGAAGGAAGTGCAAGCGTTATCAAAGGCAGCCCAGGGCAGGGAAGGAAGGGATCATCACCTCCGGCAGCATCCAGCGCTGCCGGAGCTGCGCCTGGCCGCGGTCCGGTGCTGCCACCCGCCGGGATTCCGCATTGAAGAGTTATTTTCCCTTTGGGCTTTCGCTCCCCTTCCTTAGACCGGAGTTCAAGGGAGGACAAACCATCCCTGCCTGGGGACTTCATGTCCCTCGCCAGGGCAGTGGAAGCTGCCACCTCCCGGTCACCAGGATGGCATCTATCATTCCTATCTGCCCAAATGAAACCGTGTTCCTTCTTTGTGTCAGGGGCCTCATGGTGAAACACTTTGTCTTGACCTTGTCCTTCCACTTCTGCCTCTTTGCAACCCCACAATTCCCAGGTTCTGCTTTTCAACCCTCTGGCACCTGTCTCATCTTCAGCTGTGATCACCAGAGAGAAAAGCAGAGAATGCAAAACACCCCAAACAGAGACATTTTAATGAGAGGTGGGAGCACAGCGAGACATGAGTGCTCTTTTAAAGTAACCAAGAGTTAGACACTGTCCCATGCTATTTGAAGATATAATAAAATTTAATGCATAGCCTTTCAAGAGTTACCAGTGCATCTCCCCTTGGCTACCTTCAAAACCACTTTTTAAATATTGTAAATCCCTCTGAGCCTTCCCTATGAAACTTTAATGGAGCCAGATTCTCTGAGCCTGCTGAAAGGATTTCTCTGCAGCATATATTGGTTAATTTACTGAGCTTCTTTCTCCCCAACGTCTTTCTTCTCTCTCTCTCTCTCTCTCCAGTGCCAGTTCTGCTCTTTGTTTCATTTTTCATTTCTTCTTCACTTTTGAACCAGAATTAATTAAACTTTCTAACCATACTTTTTGCCCCCATCCCCCACCCGTTTTATTTTAGCTTTGGGTTTTTTCCCACCTTTTTCCCCTTTGGCTTCCACTTTAAATTGCCTCTTTTCTGTAACTTCAGGTGAGTTGTTTTTTGTTTATATCCTTCTAGGTTTCCATGTTTCCTCTGACAGCAAAGTTCGTAAGTAGTTGAAAATCACTGTAACAACCCATTCTCTTCCAGACCACTGAGCTCAGGAGAACACCCAGCTGCTCAGAAAATGTGACCAAACATAGGGTGGACATAGGTTAAAAAGAAAGTCTTCCAGATGCTGATAACCTCCCTGGACCCCCTTGAGTGACAGTCTTCATATCAATGGTCAGACATCTCATCAGATTTAGGGGATTGCAATATGGCACCTCTTTCTGAAGGACTTGTTTGACACCTTTATAACTAAAGGCAAGAAATAAGCACTCTGGGGTATAATTCACTGGACAGAGTTTAAATTCCTGTTTGCATATCAGACCATCTTCTTTTGTTTTCTATCTGACCTGTTCCACAGAGCCTTAGGCAATAACTGAGTTTTGTTGATGTGATCACTTATTTCTCGTGACATTTTCTTTGAATACAGAGATTATTCAGCACCTTTCTTGAGCTGGACATTAGGCATGAACACAATATCCAGATAGTTCTTGTATCAAACAGGTTCACACATTGCTGGTATGATGATTGGGAAATCGTGTATTATGGTGTGGTGTGTGCAAATCTCATCACTAGAGCATGCTGCAGCATGTGGACCTCAGGTGCCTTCAACAGTGCTCCATGTCCTGCAGCACTGCAGCTGCTGGGAATGACCATCTTAGAGGGCAAGGAGAGTTCTTGTCATCAATGATCTTTTATTCTGAAAATGTAACTATAAGGAAAAGAAGAAATAAGAACAACAGAATCATGTAGCCGTTCAACTTCAGTGTTGTCTGTGTTCCCCTCAAGGAGTACTTCCAAGAAAAGTTTGCTAGTTCTGGTGAAATAAAGCAGCAATTACCTATTACCCTAATTTTGCTTTTAAGAGATTCAGTTCCTGATCATCCTCACTGAAATTGTCCCCAAGGCCACGGAGTGAGGCTGTGGTGGGTTGACCTTAACCAGCAGCCAAGAGCCTACACATCTGCTGGGTCTCCCCTCTGCCACATGATGGGAAGAAGACAGGAGGAAGGCACCCAGATAAAAGTGGTTTGGTAGGTTAAACAAAAACTTCACATTCAAGCAAAGCAAAAAGAGTAATTTTTTCACTTTATCCCTTCAGCAACTGATCTTTTTCCACCTCCTGGAAACCAGGGCTTCAGCAAATGCAAAGGTTAGTTGAGGAGACATGCCATAACCACCAATGTCACCCCTTTCTCCTCCTTCCCTTGACCTGTTACTGCAGCACGTGTTCCTGTTTGGCCAGCCTGACTCAGTTGTCCTGGCTGTGCTCC